CGACATCAGCGGCTTCATACACTCTCCTTGCTGAGTTCAATCATTGTTAAGCTTCAACTTCAACAATAGCCAACTCTTCCACGCTTCTTGCCGACTTGGATGAGAAGGTAGCTCCGAAACACTCCATCTTCTTTTTATTGTAATAGATTTATGCGTTGATAATGACTGAATGTTTAAAGTCTGATTATTTTGTATGGTGAAACAGTCAACACTTTTCCTAGGAACCAATCCAACCTACTCCTAAACCTCTATGATCATGGCTTCTTTGCAGCTTCATTTCTTTGAATTTGAGGCAGGGTGGTGTAGACAGTGGTTGAGCCGTTGACGCAAGGCTTATACGTTTCTAAAAGGCACACAATGTTAACAAAAGGAGGAGAGCCCATGGGTGTAGATATGCCTTTGGTCGATGCAAAGGTAATCTTACTAACATCGCTCTTGTATACTCTTACTATACTCTGTGATTATTCATAATTACGCTGCCTTAGAGATAGGGGAGACCAAAAGAGTTTGTTCTTCAATTTTGAGATCTTTAGATTCTAAGATCCTGATGGAGTCCCCTTCCCGAACTTTTTCATGGTGTGATAACTACAGAGAGTCCACCACTTCATGAGGACGGACACGCCAGAAAAAGGCATGTTATGCTTAACTTCCCACCTTTGGGAGTTTCCAAGTCGATGTCCACTCTGCTGCTACTTTGTGTGTGTTTCTTTTAAGTTTGAATAATATGGGGTCGTGCAACTTATTTATTTCCTTATGGTTTGGAACTACGAAAACTATTGTCTTGACAGTTTTAAATAATATTTTCCTTTCCTGCAGCTTATTATCTGTTGTTGTTTTAAAGTAACCTTGGTATCTCACCGATTATATGCTTCCCCGCAAGAGCTCTGCAACATCATGAACCTAAAAATTTATATCTTAACCGTTTCCAAATTTGGTGCTTCATAAACAAATGGAAAAAAATCAGGTCAGTATCTTAAGGTTTGGAATATGTGATCCATATTTATGTGATTTGTCGATAAAGTGGATACATTATAACTGTTATGATACTTACAATTCTACATGTTTGAGGCTGAAGCGTTTGTTCCAAAGTTAAAAAGAAAAATAGTGGCATGTAATCTGAGAACGTCTCAAGGCTTATAAAACAATATTACGATGAACATTATGACTCAAATACTTTTGGAATCTGCATACAAGAAATGAATATAAAGGTAAACGCATAACACAAGTATGGGGATATATTACAAGGTACGAATATCATTGATGGGTAAGCTATGACATGCACATCAATGGATAAGCTAAACCACATTTTAGATAAATTAGCTAATAGATCATTTGAAATCAGTACTTATAAAATTATACTGTCCTTTCGTTTCATCGTTCTACAATACTTCGTCTCTTTTTCTGGAGCACAGGTCAGCATCTGTTTCTACACAAGTAATTGTCGAGTTTAAGATTTATTTTTAGGCTATATTTATTATTTAATGTGCTTTATGATAATGGTTTTGTGATGATGAAATATGTTTTTTTCAAAATTTTGGGTTTAAGTTACATAACTAAACATTTTTTTTATTTGACAATTACATTTACACATGTTTTCCTTTCAAACTTATGATAATTTGTTTAGGTTTCATCAAATTTTAAAAATTAATAAGAAAATGATTGAAAACCACACATCCAAATTAACATGTAATAAAAACAAAGATTTAAAAAAATAGTTGGGAAAACAAAATATAATATGATATAATAAGTAACAATATGTATAAGACACAAAGGAAATTATTATACTCTAAATAAATATAATTCCTTAAAAAACATTAATGTATTGATCCCATAAAAAAATAAACATAAATTCAATATTGATATAAGAATAAAAATACATCTTTGTACAGTTTAAAAGAGTGAGATGCAATATAAAAAGAAACTGACAAAAAAATAAAGTATAAATTAAAATAGATGACTTAACATAAAACAAATATATTAAAAACCTAACCCATAACAGAACATAGCCATACTAAACCTTTCTAAAAATCGCATCAAAAAAATTCACTTGACTAAATTAACAAATAGGATGTCAAACAAAAAAAAATCCAAATCAAACATTGTACTATATAATTAACTGACTTTGAGAGGTTAAATCAATACGTTTACCACCACAAATCTATTAAAAGACACAATCATGTTAGCCAATCTACAGATGAAAACTATGATAACAGTACATATCTTTATGGTATATCAATGTTGTGTAGAGATAATTTGGTAAACAAATAATAATATCTTGATAAACTATTCTGGAAAAAATGTCAATTTAGATCCAAACAATGCTGGACTATGATTAAAAATTTCACTTACTGAATTCAAAATTGTTTTAAAGATAAATTAATAAACTAATAATTCATCATGAAGCCCCCTAAGAGATTGTCACATCCATGACATTAACAAAGTATACGAGGATTGTTACTATTTTAAGAGGATCAAAAAATTTGTTATCTTCATTCAAATAAGATAATCACAAAACAAACACATGTATTTAAATGTTTTCCTTTTGGAACATCATATTTACTTTATGTTTCAAATTCAACTATATTTATTTTGGTATAACTATCAACTATTTATTATATTTTTATTAAATCGATAAATGAAAAACATTTTTAATATTTCTATTTGACCTAAGCAACTTAAAAATAAAGTAATATAATATTGTTACTAATCACTATCAAATGGATTAAAAACCATTTTAAACTCATTAAAAATATATATACAAACCCGGCGCGTAGCGCCGGACTGCCACTAGTTATAATATATTTTAGTTGAATCATCATATATAGATCTCTATTGCAAATTGATACATCTAAATCTATCTTACTAACACACTTACATAGTTTGTTTTAAATATCAATACTTTTCTAACTTTCATTGGCAGTAAACTAATAAATATTCATTAATGTTTTTGTACACCATGAACTTCAGAGTTCGAAACTAAAAATGAGATTCATTATGCAGATTAACAAAAACAAAATAACAAAAAAGAAGACAGACGTATCATGTGCTTCCGAAAACTGTATTACACATTACATCCCTCACTACAACACATAGAACATCACCAGCATCAGAGCTCGTCGTGGCCAATCTCAGCTTCCTCAGTTACCAAAACAGATCCTGACTTGTGACTCTGGTCCAAGCCCTTGTCGTCGTGCGAGTAGAGACAATCCGCAGACGGATGAATCACTCCATACCCAAAACCTTCAGCCGAGTTACAATAAGCTTCGACCTGACCGTCTTTGCCTTCAAGATTCACATTGTTGAGAACAATGTGGCTGCATGGGACACTGTCGCTGCACGCAAATTTGATGGCTTTCTCACTTTTAGTTGTCCCGGTTATATTCCGGTACATTACCTGGCTGATCTTAACCGCCGAGGTCTACATTAGACAGACAAAAACAAACGTAAAATATCTGAGTTTAGTTTTGAATCTTTGAGTTTTTTTTTTGTTGTATTGTGATTGTAAATGAAACCTGGTTTTGACAGGAAGTTGGATTATCGCAGTAGAACTGATCAATGAGTATTGGGTTAGAGACATCTTGCATCTCTACGTTTGTGAATCTAACATCTTGAACGTAACCTGAACCTCCCTGTTGTTCCAAAGAATACACAATGAACAAAAATAATAACAGAGTAAAAGATTGAAGCTATTTTTTCTTTCTTGATTACCTGATATGTTTTGATTCTAAGTCCATTAGTTGTCTCTCTCAAGAACGCAGTGTCCAACACAACTTTTGTCACAATGCCTGTTGAGTTATTATTCCCAAGACTTCCAATACTGCGAGAGATTTTAAAGAATTATAGTTTTGGTTTGGAACAGTTGTTATCTAGAGATGTGATGATGTTACCTGATTCCATGACCAGGTCCACAATAGATCCTCTTCATCTTTATATTAGAGCTCGCATTCACAATCGAGACACAATCATCCCCTGTTTAATCCAATCTTTCGAGATTATAGCGGGAAGTTTTAATTTGCGTAAAGATTTTGGTTTAAGAAAAAATAAAGACCTGTGCCGATTTTACAGTCTTGAAGGACAACATTGGTGGATTCAGTGATGTGGATACCATCAGTGTTGGGACTATCTCCTGGAGATGAGACCATAACTTTGGAGACCATAACTGAGTCTGACCTTGCAATAATGAAATTCATCTGCTGGCTGTTCTGGATCGTCAAGCCACTTACTTTCACACCTGAACTTGATTCTATAGTTAGTGCCTGCAGAGAAAACAAGAAGCAGGATGAATCAATCTAAACAACAACCCATCTATCACAAGAAGAGAACTCGTAAAAGGCAATGGCTTCGTACCGTTGGTGCACTGTTGCAAGGCTGCAAGAGAGCAAGAAAGAAGTGTAAGATTCTGATATAAAACTCGAGCCGTTTACTTTTCTGAGTTAAATAAACCTAATTTTGGGTATAGAAGATTTATACATTAGACTTGTTTTTCTTGCAAGAAGCAGCCCACCATTTGCTGCCAGAACCATCAATAATTCCATTCCCTTGGAACACAACCCCTTCCAATTTCGAAAACTCGAGCCATATTCTTTGGAGCTTTGGGTCCCAGTTGCTAGGCTCATCTGGTGCCACTATTGTTCCGTCAATCTGAATTGTATAAGACATGTCAAAGATCGTTGTATATATATTAATGGTATTGCTTCTGTTTTTAGGACTTCAAATGTTAAACTGACCTGAATGACCAACTTTTGTTCACATGGCCCAATGAACTTTGTCGCATTTACCAAATAACTCTTTCCTTGTGGTACAAGCAACACAGATTTTGGCTTCCCACAGGCCTTGTTCCATGCGCTCACGAATGCCTGATTTGAGAAAAACATTGCACAACAACAGATTAGTACGCAAAAAAACTATAGGTAAAGTACTAGAGACGCTGACATTTTCATGGAATAAGCAAAAAATTATCTGAAAGGTACCTGAGTATCATCAGAAACTCCATCTCCAGCTGCACCAAATGTATCCACATTCACCAGGTTCTTACCAGAACTGAATGACGGCAAATCAAAGACCTTTGAATCATAATCATAGTCATCACCAGCATCATCTTCAGGTATGTCAAAGTTCTCAAGCTTCTCAAGGATGTCAAGATCAGTGTACACCAGTTTCGTTGCATCTCCATAAGCAGTTACTACTAACAGACCAATAAGGGAAAGAAGGAAGAGCTTATCCATCATGGGTTTTAATAAGATTTCTTTGCTGAGATGATTTGGTTTCGGGTTGAATTTATAATGCATACTAATTAAGCGGTTAGTGTGGGTTTATTGGCTTGGCTTAAAAGTACATGAAGAAGAAGCCTTGTTTTTCTACAATATCTACGCTTAAAGCACAAGTCATGTGCTTTTCCACTTCTTTGCTTTACTCCAAAACCTCTACAACACAAAACCTTCTTGGTCAACTTGTTCTTGTTGCATGTTGGTCCCATGAGATCTGAAATAAACAAAAACAAAACGAGAAAGAAGTCCATGAATATTTCTCAACTTTTAAAACATCAAGATGCTATTTTAAGATCTGATAAATGATTCTATAGTAAATATCAAATGACAGAAATAGAAGAAGGTCAAATGAGTTTGTTGGACCAACCCGGCAAATAAAGAATCTTATCCTTTCTTCTTGTCCTTTATAGAGTGTTGTCAAATCATGCGTAGTGACTTCAAGTGGAAGAGCCAATCGTTTACACTCTTCTTTATGATGAAGCTGAAGCAAATCACTGTCCTGCGTTATCAGTTTCTCACGGTAACTGAACTGTAACCAATCTCCCTCATAAGCTCTCGTGACGCAGCAATCTCTCTGATTCCCCTGGAGACTTCAAAGTCACCAATCTCAAAGTAAAATTTCGAAACTTGAATGTAAACAGCGAAGTTGTCAGGTTCAAGATCCATCAAAGCTTCCGCTGCTCTTCTCCCTATTGATTCGTTTCCATGAATCCTGCAGCTCTGCAGTAATGAGCTCCACGCTATGCAGTCTGCATCTCCACGTGCCTTAAGAAGTAGCTTCTCGGCCTTTTCCACCAAACCAGCACGGCCTAGCAAATCCACCATGCACGCATACAGTTTCTTTCCCGGGACTAACCCGTACTTCGATTCCAATGAGTTGAAAATCAGCTCACCTTCTTCAACAAGACCAGAGTGACTGCAACCTGATAGCACAGACAAGATTGTAACTTCGTCTGGTACGAGATTCTTCCGATCCATTTCTTTAAGCCTCTCAACACAGTCTCTTCCCATGCCATTTCTAGCATAGCCATTGATGATCGAAGTCCAGCAGAATAAGTTAGGTGCATCAAGCTCCTCAAACACCTTCCGAGATACTTCATTCTGACCGCTCTTCGAATAAGCATCAATTAGAGAGCACGAGACTGCAGCATCAGATGCATACCCGGATTTGATGGCACAGCAATGTACAAGCGTGCAGCTCTGTGAAGTTACTTCTTCAGAGAGTGATAAAGCCTTGAGGACAGTAGAAAGAGTGACTTCGTCGATTCCAGTTCCTTCATCAATCATCAAACCAAACATCTCAATGATATCTTTAGTGATGCCAGAGTGCATCAGAGAAGTCATCAGCGAGTTACAACACTCCAGAGACAGATCAGGCAAACTCTGGTAAACAGAGACAGAACTCTCAGTGTCATTGCATTTGCCGTACATGTCAATTAGAGCAGACTGCACATGAAGACTTGAAACATCAAAACCCATTTTGAGGATATAACAATGGATCTGCTTCCCAAACTCAATATCACAGTTTCTGCTACCAAAATTCAGAAACGACATGAATGACCTAACAGAAGGTCTCTTCCCCCAGAACTGCATCTTTCTAAACAAGTCAAGAGACTCAAGCACAGACCCGTAATCAACACACACAGAAACAATCGAGTTCCAAGATATCACATCCTGTTCCGGGATATCATCAAACGATGTCTTAGAACCATATAAATCACCACAAGCAGAGTACAAGTCCACAAGCGCATTAGCCACAAATACATTACAAACATTCCAACCAGATTTAACCACTAGAGAATGTAATTGCTTCCCTTCACATAACAACCGATCATTAGAACAACCACGAATCATATAACAATAGCTCAACCCATTCTCATCAACACCTTCAACTCCCATCCTACGATACACTCCAAACAATCCCTCTGAATCTCCACTCTCACAATAACATCTCAACATCAAATTAAAAACAGCTAAGTTTCTCTCAGGCATTTCATCGAACAGCTTCAGAGCAACATCAAAAACCCGCAAAGAGGCATACAAACCCGCAAGTGCAGATCTAATGAACATATTACACTCAAACCCAAGCGAGATCACCCTGCAGTGAACTTGAATCCCTTCTCTACATAACCCACTACATACACTAAGAACAGAAGGAAACGTGGAAGCGCTCTCTCTAAGTCCATTAGAGACCATCTCCGCGTAAAGCTCGAAAGCTTTTACAGAACACCCCTTTCGGCTGTTCCCAGATATCATCAGATTATAAGTGACAACATCTCGTAGGGACATTTCATCGAACACCTCGTGTGCAGATAACAAGTTTCCGGATTTTAACAAATCATCAATCTTGCGGTTATGGGTATAAACTAGGTCGTTAGAGTTTTCTTCGAGACAGGAACCAAACTCCAAACGAGTCGCCGCCGACGTATAACGTATGTGTTGAGCTAACTTTGTTGTTGTTCTGCGAAGAAAGTTTAAAGCTTGCGCTCCTCGCATGTCTCCGACACAGTAATGTCTCTCTTACATCCGCCATTTCACATTTGTATCATTATATAGCTTTAAAAGTTCGCATCTGTTTCATCTCCGTGCACAACAAGTATTAACCAATGTCTTCACAAAGAAACCCTTCTGTTTTTATTTTTTGCATTTATCTTTTTTTTTTCTAATTTTCTAGCAATTAAGTAAAGATTTTATAAGCAAAGAAATATAGATAGAAAATAAAATAAAAATCCAACCTTTGACAATTTTTTGAATAAGAGAATTATTTTTATCACATAAAAGCTCTTTCAGAGCCAAAAGCAATAGTCTTTTTTTTTTATCTTCTTTTATCACAAGCTACAAATGACACCACCACACTCCTCTCCTCCCACCAAAAGGACACAATGCTTTCGTACAAGGATATACATTATACTTACATAAACACTAGCAAGTAGCTGCAATTGCCTCCAAGAGAGAGACCACGAACTGCATCTGAGTATCTTCATCGATTTTGGAGAACAAAGGAACGTGGACGAACAGTGACTTGTGTCCCTTTTGCTCAGCGAACCTGAGGGAATGATAGTAGACATAGTTGCACACAAACCGTCCAGCGTCGTCTGATTGAACAACATCGAAGCCTTTGTTCTTCAGTAGATTCAAAATCGACTCTGTTGAACATGTAGTCTATAAAAACAGAAAACACCAAAAGAAACACATTAGAATGTTGCAAGAAAGAAAAAAAGATGAGTCTTGTGGTTGAAGTGTTTGTTATGAATATATATATATACCTCTTTTGCCTTTAAAATGCTTCCATCTTCAAAAACTATAGGAACCCTCTGTGTAATGAAATGTTATCATTTAGTATTTTTTCGGATTTGAATACGTTTATTAGTGATGATGGTAGTGAATTGTTATACCTGTGGTTGCCAGCCTAATTGATCAGGGCAACGGAAATGAGCTTCGTTGACTGCTTGTCTTTCAATTGCGAATTTTTCAGCTCCGCTATTCACTCCAAGATGAAGCTTAAGAAGCAAAACAACAAAACAAAGAGAAGATTCACTCAAATAAAAAATAAAAATAAAATATATATATATATATATATATATATTATTTTCTTCATTTCCAGGTTACAAGTTCTTCAAATATCTGAACTTTTGTAAGACCTTAACAATCTTTATCTACAAACACACATCAAATCAGAAGCAGAAGGCATTATTAAAGACACAAGAGAGTGCGTTTAACCAAATGTAAACAACAATCAAGAACCATGAATAGAGAGTCTCATCAAAATCCTTAAGATAGAAGACGATAAATAAACAAACAGTACAACCATAGTCATCGAATTTGAAGGATCAGTTCTGAAACTAAACTGAACGAATTAGAGTAGAAAAAACAGTTCACAATAATCAAGTAGAAATATAGAAGTAAGTGTTGTCTTACCCAAACAACAGTTCCATCGTTGTTCTTATCCTCAGAGGCAGTAACACTAGACTCCAAAACCTGATAAAGGTGAGACTTTGCGCCTTCCCCAGCAGTCTCAAGAACAGCGCAGCTACCAAGACTCAACCCAGAAGGCAACCCTCGTTTCTCCACATACGATTTCAGATTATTAGCGATTTTCTCAGTAGGGTTTTCGGAAACACCAAGAAACCTCTTGAACCCAGTCACATGAATCGTAATAGCTTTTGGTCCTTCAGAGCCCATCTTCTTCAAAGTGAAAAGAAAACAAATACAAAATCAATAGAAACATATCTAATCAGAGAAAAATACGATAAGCAGACAAGACCAAGTTCTGTAATTGATCGTGAATACAAAAAGGGAAGAGCTTTACCAGTTCTTGTGATATTTTTTCAATCAAAAGATGGAGTTTTTGAGGTTAAAGCTTAATGGATTTTTGACTTATGGATTGAGGGAAGAGGTAACGAAATTGGGTTTTGGTTTCTTCTTCTGAGAGAATAATTATGAGAGAGTTGAGTTTTTGGGTTTTTTCGCGGTGGACTTTTGATTATAAGCAGACGGTTCGATGGAACGCCCACAGATTACGAATTTATCTACGAGATTGCCACTAAGCGTCGGGGAGAGGGGGAATGAAACGTCTCCGACAACGTCTGAGGTGGTCCTTATCCACTCGGTGACAAGGGACGATGACGTGGCGTGTTATTATTGGAGAGTGTATTAAAAATAGGTTATGTTTTTAAAGAAGAAGTTGCGATTCCGGCCCATAATAGAGTTGTTGAGCCGCGTTGCCAACAGGACCCACCTACCCATGGTGTGCCCCTCTTAATAGTAGTTGTGAGGGAAACGTGCAAGCATACAACTTGTTTAGACAAATGCTTTTTTAATATTTATTTAATACACTAAAAAGGTTGGTATTTTGAAAAAAGAATAAAAATCTATTCAAAATCTGTTAATCCTTTTATGTTGTAACAATCATAAAGAAGAAAACCTTATTCAGTGTTTAATATATTCCCAAAAAAATGTATCCATTTACCTACACTATTTTATATTTATATATAAGACAAATGAATGAAAGTAAGGTGGACGAATATTCTATCTTTTAAAAAGATGTTCGAGTAAAAGTTTAGAGGTTTTCAATTTTACTCATGGTTATCTGATCGAATTGTTAGAAAATAAATTACCGTCAGCATGGAGAAAACGGTCAAACTCACTTGTAGCATGTCACCGATGTACCTTCTAGAAACATTTATACGCTCAGAAAATAGTAAAATGATATGGTGAGTGCACTAGATGTTAATTTATACATGTGCTATTAGGTTCAAGTATTCCCTCTGTAGTGTTGAGAGTGTGATGAACTGTGTTTCTACATTTCAAAACGTATGATTGTAAGATTGTCCAGTCTTTACCAGATTTGTCGTATACTCCCTCCGTTTTGCTTTTTTTTTTTTTATCAAAACTCCCTCCGTTTTGCTATATATGAAGTTTTGGAACTTTTATTTTGTGTTAAAATATGTGATGTTTTCCAAAATTAAATGCATATATAATAAGTTTAGACTTCAACTACTCTTGCATTTGACTAATTAATGATCTATGATCAAGAGTAAATTGTACTCCCTCTGTTTCTAAATAAGTGTCACTTTAGCCTTTTAATTTTGTTTCAAAAAAAATGTCATTCTATAGTCTCAATGTAATTTTGTACATTAAATCTATTTTTTACCCTTTTGAATAACCAATAGTATTTTACTTAAATTATTTTCATTTAATTAAACATACATTAAATAGGGATATATTAGTCTATTATACAATTTTCTTAATTTATGTGCAAAGAGTCAAAATGACACTTATTTAAAAATAGAGGGAGTATTATTCAAACAATTAAAGAAGAGTAGAATAGACATCAGATGAGCTTCTAATTCTTCAAAATTGTATGAAATCATCTAAAACGTCAACTAAAACAAAACTGAGGGAGTATATATTAAATTGGACTTGACTTGGTGTTTTTATTGTTACAAAATGGCATGACCAAACACCATTTATATCTAACTAGTCGAGTAATATTTTATTTTCTCATGAAAATTGACTTGGTGTTCCATGATACTTTTATTTCAATAAAAGTTAATTTTTGTAAACAATATTTAGTAGTAGTATTTATGATTGACTAGTAGACTAGTAGTATGTGTCTTGTTATTCCCCTTAGTACAAAAGCATTAAGTAAAGTCAAGTAGTATCTTATTAATGGCACAGCTTAACAAAGATTCTTAATAAAGTGTTTCGTGGAATGTCAAAACATAAGTAGTTATGAATGCAAAAGTAGGATTCGGTATAGAGTCAAAGTCTCTTCAAACTACGTTCAGAAGTTAAGAAGTACGAAATTACTGAATAAACTCGCTCATTCCCAAGACTCTCCTCGAACACCCAAATCCTACGTACATTTCAGATCCTACTCTCTCCAACAACACGATCCCTAAAGCAACAAAATCAAACACTAGCTAGAAGAAAATAGTCACCATCACATTTGATATGCCAAATTGTTATTACTCAAACGGAGTTTTCCCCCAAATGGAATGCCTTTGAGCCTTTCTCTCTCTGAAACCATTATTGCTTTCTTCATGGTCCTGCATTCCAAACATTAATTTCAACAATGAATTAAACTCAAGTTATTAAATATGGGATGCTTTAATTAATTGAATGGGTTTCTTTTAAAGTAATCTGTGTGAAGTGTGAGCTTCAATACTATAAAAGGGTTTACATCATAAATTTCACACATTCTAGTAGTTGAGAATCAATTATATGCTCATTACCTCTCTCCTTGAGTTCACCCAAATAAATAGTAAAAATTAAATAACTCTAGCTAGGGTTCTGAAAGTCTTACTGAGAGTGATTTTATTTAGATCTAGTTAAAGTTGGATTGCTTCGGAGATGACAATTTTAGTTTGCTAACATACATGGTGGTTTATTTTCAAGTATATATGATTATTGATTCTGAAAGAAGATATAGCAGTCGTAAAAAGAATAATGAGCTTTGTCAAAAAAAAAAAAAAAGCATAATGAGTTGCTGAAATTACCTGAAGAGCATTGCATGATAGTAATGCAGTGTTTTCATCCTCGTAAAAACATTGATCTGAGGCAGCTCTCTTGTTTTGCACTGGAGGGAAATTGGCCCACTGCACCAAACAAATTGAAATCACAAAATTATCAGATAGATCTCTCCAAGCTGACTAAAAGAAAAAACTAAACTAAATTAGGGTTTTTTCTTCTCTTCAAGTTTTAAGTTAAAGAAAACTTCTTGAGTACATTTTTGGCAGCTAAGCTGAAAGCTTCTTTGTGAGCCATGCTTGGATTCTGAGCCTTTAACCTCCTGATCTCTTCCCTGCTCAAATTTAACGCCCAAAAGGAAATTATTTATAAAATTATGAAACTGTGTACATATACTTGTAAATTATATAGACTAATGAACATAGTTCACTGGATTGATTTCTTACTTGATGAAGCAATTGTAAGCCGAAGGAGCTCGTTGTCGTTTCTCAGGTGCTATTTAAAAGTCAAGAAACATCAATTATAAGAAAAATTAACTGAAGCAGACAAAAATCAAACTATATATATGTATATACACACACAAACGTACGTTTGTTGACAACTTGGTAAACACGAGACACATCTCTATCGTCATCTTCATTGTCTGAAGATGTGACCAAAGTCGTTGGACTGTTCTCCTTCTCCTGATTCACCTTACATGCTTCTTCTTCCACACCATCTGTTGTAGCTGCAGCCTCCTCTTTCCCCGCCTACACAGAAAGAAAAAAAAAACAGAATTATTTAGAGTGATCGATGTATATATATATATAAAAGTGGAGACGTATATATATATATATATATATATATCTTACGGGAACTTCATCGAGATGAGAGAGAGAAGTGAGGAGATGGAGAGGAATGAAGGAAGCCTTCATCAAATTGACAGAGAGAAGACTTGTGCAATGTCCACATCTTACAGTCACCACCATTGACAGGCTCGTGAACGGTACACTTACCTGCAAAACATGTATATCCATCGAATGATCATCCAAGTAGACCGAAAGAGAGAAAGCAAGAGACGAAGTTAAGGTGTACCAGCAAAATTGTGTTGCAAAAACCACACTGGACATGGCAAATCTGCCCCGGCAGATCAAACAGCTGGTTTAGTGTCGTCATGTTGGGCATTTTTGTCATATAGAGAGAGAGAGATTGTGTGTACGATGAATAATAGGAGATATATCTGTGTGTGTGTGTGTGTGTTTATATAGATAGAGAGTAAGAGAGATAGGTATTAATGCAAATTTTGTATATTTCATGTGAAAATACTTTGGTTAATTATATGCTAATATGCACTACTTAACTCTTCTCATGTACGTCTCCATCTCATTTCTAATAATTGGAATCTTCATCGTCTCGATGAGCTGTGGGTAGTAAATGATTCCCATTCTTTCTATTAATCACATTCCTAACTTCTTAGCAAACTACATTTTCTTTTCTAAAGAAAAGAAATAATGTGTAGAATGTATATTGTGATGATGGAGTTCTAGCGACAATTGTTTTTGTCGGCAAGTTCTTGTGTGATTAAAATTATTGTAGAACAGCATTAATTAAATTAACATAGAAGTATATATTCTAAATACATATATCAACGGGTACATGCCATTTTAAAAGTTTATCATTAGGATAGAAAATTAGTTATGAGAAACACATTCATGATTCTATGAACTCATAAACGCAACACATAAGCTCAGTTATCATATTCTACCTTTTGCAAATCCGTATAATGGGCATGATAAGATGGCTTATTGCTATACTAAACTAGGATGGACAATAGAATAACACAAGCTAATATATAAATATATGTAACCGTTGGTGAAGAGTATGTATGGTGTTACAATGAACATGTCAAAATGGAAAGCCACGTTGCACAGATAGATAGTATATCGAAGAGAGGATAGGTAATAACTGCTGCGGTGTGTGTAGTAGCTAGATTGGTTTGCAAGTTAGAAAGAAAAAAAAAACAAATGAAGTTGAGAGAGAAATTCCTCTTTGTCTCATGTGTAGTTGTCTCTTTAAATGGGATTTATTGAATCTCCCACAAAACACAATGCAGTTTTTGGAATTTAGGTTTGAAATGAGATTGAGAGTGAAAGTGCATTGAGTTGAGACTAGGAGGCTCGTCACTTTTGTTAACTGTTTCTTGACCATTTTGCCCAAAGTCTTCTTCTTCGTCTCTCTCTCTCTCTTTCAGTTTCAATCTCTAGACTCAAGTTTCAGTGCTCTCCCTCTCTCTATCTCCTCATGTTGTTTCCAGTTTCCACTGTCACTCTCCTTTATTGCTCTCTGACTCACTTACTCTCATCTCCTATGTTGTCTTCAACCACAAGACAAAGACTTGGCACCAAAAATGACAATTTTCTATTCATTTACATATAAATTTTTGTCTTGGTTGGCAGAATCCCATGCGATCCATTTCACCGTCCCACATCACAAGCTTGAGGACCCGCACAAAATAAAGAAACAATTTGACCATTTTATGATGGTTTAGTAGAAAATGCAACACTTTTGAGGATATGCGAGTACTCGCTTAGGAACAAGTTAGTGAAACGTAATTGAAGATTTTAGAAATCCTCTATATTTCTCATAATTTACTTTGCTGCTTCTGAAAAAATATATATTACAAAGTTAAAAGAAAATATATATCAGAGATTTTGTAGACGATCTAAGAGCAACCCCAAAATAAACACATTTGGTGGTGAAAATTACATTATTATCAGTCGAATGAAAACAAAAAAAACGATACAACTAGTAATTTTGCCTCCCAGAAAGACAAATCCATCATGCGAAAAATAAACGAAAGCTATGTCGCAAAACTAGATGACGAAAGCTAAAGACTGTCCGCTAAACATCCTAACTGTCACAAGTTACTATATCTCCAGATCAGTAGCATAATGCAGCAAAACTGAGGGAATTTCCGACCAGCTACTATCACCCTAACCATCCTACAGAATCTATACATTGCACATACCAAACCATCAATAGAGATAATATAATGACTTAATGCAACTATTTAAAACACACACAATAATCTCATAAATAAAAAAAAATTAAACCTCAATATAAATTTTTTTATCTAAATTAACGATAATCCCATTTTAAATAGGGTTTATTTGTAGAATAGCTATAAAAAAAAGTGAAATTAGATTTTTAGTAAGAAGTTAGAGAGAGATAGGAAGAGAGAAGAGGTGAGAGAGTGTGATTTTGGTTAGATAGTGGGTTTGAGTTTTTTTTATAGCTATAGGGTCAAATTTCCCTTTTAAATATGAGAGACAAAAAAAAAAAAACATAACACCTAGCGAATCATTCATACATCACTCTTCATCAGGCTTCTTAAAGACATAAGTAGTTCCACACTTCCCACAATAATGCCTATCGAAATGACTCGCCATGAACGTTCCGGGACCACAACTAACCGAAGGACACTCTTTCCTCAACCTCTGAACCTTCCCACTTCCATCAACTTTATAAAACTGCAGAACCGCGAGCTTCACTTTCTTGTGCTTGTGCTTGATCTTCTTCGGCTTCGTGTACGTCTTCTTCTTCCTCTTCTTCGCTCCTCCTCTCAGACGGAGAACCAAGTGAAGCGTCGACTCCTTCTGGATGTTGTAGTCCGCGAGTGTCCTCCCGTCTTCAAGCTGTTTCCCGGCGAAGATCAGACGCTGCTGATCCGGTGGGATGCCTTCCTTGTCCTGGATCTTGGCCTTGACATTGTCGATCGTGTCGGATGATTCGACCTCTAGGGTTATCGTCTTCCCCGTTAGGGTTTTCACAAAGATTTGCATTTTCTTGTGCTTTAGAGAAGGGCGGATGAGAGTTTAAAAAGAGGTTTTTATACCAATGTAATTAGGGCTACGAAGTTCAGTTTTATTAAACTAATGGGCTTAAGAGCCTAGATTAGTTATAAAGCCCATATTGATTAACACTATACTGCAAATGTATCTCCAAAATATCACTAAAAACCACTAAATGGTTTAGTTAGAGTTTATCAATGACTATTAATTATGAAAAGTCTTTTTTTTTTGTTACCCAGAACTATGTTAGTTTAATAAGAGAGAAAAAAATGATTCGAAAAACTAACCGATGGAAATGAATCAACATACAACATAATAGAAAGAGAATTTCGAACACTATGTATAATTTAGTTTGCTTTCATTGTAATTTTAGTTTTCGGAATACGATGGATTGAGTAATCCTCTATATATTAATCTTAGAGCATTACAACATTTTTTGTAGACACTTCTCATAACTAAAACAATTCTTAGAATCTATGTCAGAGTTTTGGGACGGATTGCAAGGAGATGATAGCGATGCTCAGGAATCCTCAAGACTGGCCAAGCTTCTCAATAGAATTGGAAAGGCTAATGACACTACGGATTTGCTTTCCAGATTTTAAGATTTTTTACGTTCCTAGGACTCGGAATGGTGCTTCTGATTTTTTAGCTAAAACTGCTCGACCATTCTATCGAGATCTATTGTATGTTGATTGTTCTATTCCGGTCTGGCTTCCTAGACCACCTCAAGCTTGATTAATAGATCAGCCTTTTGATGCAAAAAAAAACAATTCTTAGAATTCTTAAAAAAATATTTTGGTCCATATAATTATATATTATACTTAATATTAAATTAGACATCAAATTAATTATTAGTGTCAAAATAACATTTTTTATTTCCTTAAATAAAAGTTACCGGAATTACCTAATATGATTAAGATATATATGATAATTAATGATTATGAATAATATATATTCAATAACAATTTTTCTATCCTTCCTCTTTTTTTTATATTGTTAAAATTAATTAAACAAGCACATCAAGCATATAATAAAAAAAAATTAGATTTTTTGCTTATATGTTATATTTAGAATTTTTTGAAACGACTATAAATTACTAAAAATGTTAAAAGTCACACACTGAAAATTTTTGATCAACGGCTTAACTTTTTCTGTTCAATCAAGATACAAATGATTATAAATCATAGGAATCTGAACTCTCATAGTAAAAGTCATATTATATATATATATATATATATATATATATATCATTTAAATTAAATTATATACTATAGAAAATATATAAATATGTTAATTTCAAAATTTGCAGTGAAAATTTATGGAGATCTTAATATTTTAATTTTTAAATTCGTATTGGAACAATATCACATTATTTTTTTGTGATTTATTCAAAGCTTTGTTAGAGAAAAATATACAAATGTAAATAGAGTTATATAAGTAGGAAGTGTCAATAATAAACATATATTAAAATATACTATATATATATATCAATATCAATAACATTTAATTATATACAATATAATGTAAATAAAATGGTTGTTTTGATTTATTTACCAAAAACATGATTGCAAATTAACAAAATGTACTAATTATGATTTATCTTTTTACTCTATGTATACAAATTAATTTTTAAATATATAGTTTCTAATATGTTATTTGATCTTGACAATCCGAGAACTACAGTTCTTCAAATCAAAGTACATTGGAAGCACTCTATATATTTATATACTATTTCATTCAAATTAAATAATTTAGTCTTGATATTTATCTCTAAAAAGCTTTTAAGGAAATATCATAACAAGATTCCAGTCACCTTCTTTTGAGTTTGTTCGAAGAGTGAGATAGTTGATCATTCATCTAATATTTTTTCTCCATAATAGCCAATCTAGCTATTATAATTTATCTGAACAAGCTTATTATGATCTTATTACTTTGGGATTTGGTTATAATCTGAATTGGACCGAATTATGAACCAAATCCGATCCGATAATTAGTTAAACCCGAATGAGACCGAAGAGCATAATGCCAAAAATTTGAAAATATGAATCAATCAAACCGAAACCGACGGACCCCCGAACATCCAGACATATGATATATTTAAGAAACCAATATTTGTATTCGTCATTTTGCTATCAATAAAGATTATAGTGTTACAAAATGTTAAAACCGAACAAACATTAATATAAAAAACCCATCCCGCGCATACGCGCGGGTATCATCTAGTTAGGAAGTATTTCTTGTAACGTTGGAATTCATCGTAAAGGAGAATTTGGGCTAATAACCATTAGATTGAGAAAAAATAATTTCATATCCATAGTAAGCCTATGGATATGCTATGATACATAATGTTGTATATAATTCCCATTATATCTCATTTATACGCGTGACCATTGGATTCCCTCTGTTCCGTAATCCTAAGAAACTATTACCCCTTTTCCCGCTTACAAAATTAAAGTAAATCGCGTTGAGAGTTAACCCTTCTGCGAACGATGTGTACGGCGGATATACCACAGCGGAGAAGAGCGTGGCCGTCAATTGGTTTCTCGAACCGATTGACACGGAGGTGACGGTATTTTGTAAGGGGAGAGTAGGATTACGCTTCGTCTGAGACATCTGAAAGGTAAACCTTGTAAGTACTTTTCTTGATTAGTCGATCTTACTCCCTTCGGCGCAATTCTGGCGATTGTGTTCGAACGATGTGCCGGTAATGGTTTTAATTTTTTTTCTCTCCCGCAAGACTCAGTTGCATGTCGTTTGATAAAACTTATTATGACAAAAGTGTGTTTATTGTTGGTAATGAATTGCGTTATTGGTTAAATATTAGTTTAGTGTGTTCCCGGAATGTATTTCAAACCTGGGTTTCACGATTTGTGGTTTTCGGAACAACTGATCTGTTGAGGATAATGATGTGTCTATAGATATGTGTTCGTAGTATAGAACGATGGAGATTTGTGTTAGTGTAGGAGTAGACTTTGGTTAGTACATGTACCTGGTGTCATGTTAACAGTAGAGGACTATACTATGTGTTAATAGTATAGACCGTTTGAGCCTTGCGTTAGTAGATTACTCTTAGTTTCGTGTGTTACCATGTAGAGATGTGTATAGATTTCTATCCTCCAGGAACTAAAATATTGTAAACCTACTATAGTATAGATGTGTTGCATGTATAGATGTGTATAGATGGTAGTATATGTAGTAACATGTATATATGTGTATAGAGTAGGTGGCCTATACTATTGGAAAACGTTTATAGTATATATACTATTTGAAAACGTTTATAGTATTGTACTCTATGCAACATAGGTGGCCTATACTATTTGAAAACGTTTATAGTATAGATATATTAAGATGACAAAACTGTGCGTATTGTTTGTTGAATATATGTGTATAGAGTAGGTGGCCTATAATATTGGAAAATGTTTATAGTATATAAATTATTTGAAAACGTTTATAGTATCAGTACTCTATGCAACATAGGTGGCCTATACTATTTGAAAACATTTATAGGATATATATATATTAACATGACAAAAGTGTGAGTATTGTTGGTTGAATATATGTGTATAGAGTACTATAATACTGAAAAACGTTTATAGTATAGATACTATTTGAAAACGTTTATAGTATCGGTACTCTATGCAACATAGGTGGCCTATATTATTTGAAAATATTTATAGTATAGATATATTAATATGACAAAATGTTGTTAGATATCACATAATTTGGCAAGTTTGTTGTCCTCCTACTTGTTTTCTATTTTCTCGAATATAGTATGGTTGTTACTGTGTTACTATGGCCGTTTGAGCCTTACGTTAGTAGATTACTCTTGGTTTCATGTGTTAACATGTACATATGTGTATAGATATCTAACCTCCAGAAACTAAACTATTTCAAAACTAGTATAGAATAGATGTGTTGGATATATATATGTGTATATACATGATACTATATGTGGTAACATGTGTACATGTGTATACAGTTGTGTAAAGGTATGTGTTTATAGTATAGACCGGCCGAGCCTTGTGTTACTATATTACTATCCATTTCCCGTGTACCGGACATCGATATAGTCCATTGTTGGCCTATACTATTGGAAAGACCTTATAGCATAGATATATTACCATGACAATATGATGTTAGATATCTAACAATTTGGCAAGTTTGTTGTCGTGTTACTTGTTTTTGGCTTTTCTCGAATATTGTACGGTTGTTAATGTTTTACTTTTTGTTGTAGATTATGGAGGAGTTTGGCTTACCGGAGCGCTTGTTTGAGACGGGGTTCGAACCAACTGGCCGGAAGAGAATAAAAAACTACTTCAGTTTGAGATGGATGCAGGTGATAAAAGAGTCTATGTCTGATGTGTGGCAGGAGAAGATTGCAGAGTCGCCATGATATTGTCTTCTTTTGAGTATGACATATAATATCCAATGTATAATATAGTCTAATCTACACTATAACCCAAATTGACGTCAGTTTTTCTTTACTTCAAACGTGTCCAAGTTGTTCAGCATTTTATTGTCGTTTTGATTTACAGACGATCCCATTTTCATTCCAGTTACTCACATGCGTCAATAACTTTTTGCCATGATAGAAAAATTGTTATTTCATATAGCCTCTGAAACTCCTCTTGTGAGATATTATAAGTTGTACATTATTTGTTGTACTATCCCTCCTATAGTATAGTCTTCTGCTTCTCATTTCATGTAGCCTTTTGTCTGAAACTCCTCTTGTTAAATATTATAAGTTGTACATTATTTGATGTACTATCCCTCCTATAGTATAGTCTTCTGTTTCTCAGTATGTTGTACACTTGGTTCGGTTAACATGCTAGACTGTCCTTTTCATTAGGTACTATGTTATCCAATATATAGTATATTATACTCTAATCTACTCCCTTCATAATATCATGTCTCCTCTTATCCGAACCTCTTTTTCTCAGCTATTGGGCATTATTTACTATACTATCCCCCTATAGTATAGTCAACTAAGTACCAAATATATATGCTTCTCAGTGCTCTTTGTTTGGTTAATGTGTTTCCAGGATATGAAACCATACTGTATTCGCTGTGCCATTTACAGTTAGACTAACCACGTTTTCTTCAGATATTTTCTTATGTTTCCAAGTATGGTGTATATTGTCCTCAGTAAAAGTATAGTCCACTTTGTCACATATCCCCTTCTTCTCCTAACACTGGTGTTATGTTTTGATGATTCACTCCACTTCACTCGCCTCATAGTCACTTGTAAGCGAATGAAGGGTTGATATCGTCAAGAACCGTGGGTAAATGTCAAATCAAACTTCTATGACTATATTCTTAATTTCAGATTCTCTTATGAATATTAGGCAAATTGCCTCTAAAATGAAAGATGGTCATTTAATCCAAGAAAATACCATTACTGAAAATAGTCGACTGCAAACACCACCTCCGAATAATGGAAGATCTTTATGAAATCATATCAATTTCGTACATTAAAATATTTAATTTTTGTAAGTGCAAAATATAACTAAATGTAATTTGGGATAAAAAATTTCTAAACTAAATTTTTAGTATATGATGTATTATTAATTTTTCAATATCCCAAATATAAGTATTTAATTTGATACTCTTTAGATAAATCTCACTATCAAACTTATTATTCTTTTTGTAAATAACTATTAAAATTGATACCCTTTAAATCAATTTATCGTTGAGATTAAGGGTCTGACTGGTTACAACGCATCGATTGCGGTTGCGGTTGCGGGCGTTTGCGGATGCGGGAGATTGCGGTTTTAAGCGTTAGTAAGAGATTTATACGACTGGTTCAACGGTTAAAAATTGTTGCGTTTGCGGGATACTTATGACTGATTTATCATCAAATACAATAGCAGTTAAGTAATAAATTAACAATATTTATATTTTATATAATTATCAAAATATTAAAATCATATTTTCATGATAAATATAAAATTTTTTATTGAAAAACTGCACTATTAAATTTTTAAAAATTAAAGAAAATATTTTTTGGAAATTTTATAATATAAATATATCAGTGTTTCAATTATTTTAATTTAAAAATGTAATTGGATATTTTATTTTATATTTATATATTTTTTTTGAAAAAAAAAATTTTTTATCCTCCCGCAATCGTCCGCAACCGCAAACTGTAGCTGGAACCAGCTTTTGAATTTTAGAGATTCAGAGCGATTTGAAGCGATTTATAGCGTTTTCTATGATTGTTACAAAATGGTAACAACCGCTATCAACCGCAAAAGCTGCGTTTGCGGGTGATGGCGGGAGAACCAGTCAAGCCCTAAAGCTCATGTTTAAACAACGATTTATAAAGTTCATATGCGTAAGAAGAAAAAAGAGTAAAAAACAATTCAATCATTTGCGAATGCCATTACATGATTTCTTTTTGAACATAGCCTTTACAGCAAGTTATCTAACAAATATTCATAGAACACAAGTATATGTAGTTCCACCAAAGTGATGATAGCGACCATGAAGTTCTTTTAGACAAAATCCTCTGTTTTGGAAGTCTGTTTTTTTGATGATCCATTTGTTTTCTCTGCATCATTGCGTCAATACAGAAAAAAATGTATTAGCACTTCATTAAATAAGTTATCTAGAATGTGAATAAGTTTACCTTGTCCAAGACTTTGAGCCTTTTTGGTTTTGTGCTTGTCATAGAAAAAGTATATAACACAGATGATGATGATAATCGTAACCAAAATTGCTGCTACTATGATTATAAAGGTTAAAACATCAATTGATCCTACTTTGATCTTATTTTTTTTCTTCTTTAAACCTGCAATTTAATTTTTATAATGAGTGTATTAAATAAACGCTTAAGACTATCCATTGAAAAAGTAAAAATTAAATGGATCAATTTTCTTTAGGTTAACAAATCATTACTCTTGAATGATGTGCCATTAGAAGCTTCATTCACATCCACTTTTGAGCCAGCGAGTAGAGCTTGAAGACTTCGGGCTTTCACTAGATCTTCAACATCAATCATCGAAGACCCTTGCTCAATCGTGGCCATAGAGTACGATTCATCATCGGCTTGTCTAAACAGATAGAAACAATATATATTTGTTTAAAGTTTTACGTATGAGACAAGTAGTTAGGTCGGATTGGATTTCTTCTTACTTAAACAAAACATCTCTTGTTGGATGAGAATAACTAGAAGTTAGAGAAATGGAAACGAGTACAATGAGGACGGTGAGAAGAAGATTGTAAGCCATTAGAGTTGTCGTCTTGTGTTTTGCTAAAGTAGTAAATATACGGAAAAAAATGAAAGAAGATTTTGAGATATATAGTGATTTTTCTATGGGCACATTTGTGTCATAAAAATCCGCAGCTTTTAATTATTGGTCTTTTTAAACATTAATTTGTGTTTGATTTTCATTTTAAATATTAAAAATCCACAGCTTTTAATTATTGGTCTTTTTGAACATTAATTTGTGTTTGCCTTTCATTTTAAATACTAAATTTTTGTTGACTGAGTTATACAGTGTTTTTTAAAAAACATCTCTTGTCGGATTGTAAGCCATTAGAGGAAACGAGTACGAGGAGGTCGGTGAGAAGAAGAATGTAAGCCATTAGAGTTGTCGCCTTGTGTTTTTCCAATGTCATAAATATATGAAGAAAAAATGGAAGATGATTTTGAGATATTTAAAAATTTCAATAAAAACCGTTAAAATCGGGAATTCGATAATACATATAGATGATCTGATATAGTCTGGTTTGACTTAAATTGTTATTTCTAGAGTATTCTGATATATGTGTCTATAAATGTTTAGATCAATGGTAGATATATTTTGGATTGTGACATTCTAATATTATAAGAATTAGCTATACCAATTTACAGTCAAATTAATTTTTTTATCTGGTTGCGAACATAATGGATCAATATCTAAGATGATTCTTACTAAATGGAGAAATATACTTGAGCATTCCATATATGTTTATTATAAATTTACAACTTATTTGCAAGAAAATAGAGTAAATATAATATTTTTTTATTTACTCAATTTAATTTTGTTGTCGTCGTTTATTATATTTTTAATGTTTTGATTTTGGTTTATTTTACATTTAAATTTTGATTTCATTATTCAAATTAGACATTTATATTTATCACATATCTTTACTCTATATATCTAATTCATAACTTGTTAGAATATACTTTTTTGTTTTAATAAAAGTGTCATTTAGAGTTTTGCACACGGATTAATGAAACAATTAATTTTTATATTTTCTATATAAAAACACAATTACCTATACATTTAACCATATTTTAACTATTAGAAAAATAAATTATATAATAAAACCAATTAATTTTCCATTAAAAATTCGAATTTTTTTTCTATAAACGACTCTTAATATAAAACGGAGGAAGTATATAATTATATTCTAAAGTTAACTAAACTATAGTCCACAGTTCACATGTGGTCAATGAAATGACTTAGTAATCCATAAAAATAAAATAGTCTAGTTCAGTGTTCAAGGTCGGATATAAAAATATGAGAAATCTATTAGGTATGCAGTTAAATAAACCAAAATAATTAAAAAGAGTTAATGACGAAAAAAACTAAAATAAAGTTAATTAATTATTAAAATTTTTAAAAACGACTTGGTTTGCTTTGGTTTGAAAAAAGCAAAATAGTAATTAAATATCCTCGGCTTTTAAAATTTTGACCATTAAAAACACTAGAATTCATTTAAAGAATTTAAAGTATTAAATGGTGTTTGACTTTTATTTATTTTAAATCTTGAAATTTTGTTGAATGAACCAAATTATGCACATTACTAAATAGATTAATATTACTTAAATTAGATTTAAGTAGTCATTAATAATTATGTTAAGCAAGTCTATACAGAGGTCAAATATTATTGTTTCAAGCCCTTTATCAAAAACAAAAGTATTATTGTTTTGACAGACAAAATTTATATAATTAATTTATTAAAAATCACCATTGAATATTTTTGATACCAGGCAATAACAGTAAAGATGAATATATGATAAATCTGGTGGAAGTCCCTTAGTCCAGTGATTTGATTTAAGATTCATAAATACTTCTATACCAGGAGGTCCATGTTTCAATCCCGACGAAAACGATTTATTAAATAATTATGCAAGATATGAAAGAAAGATTTACAAGAGATCTTCAGCATGGTGCAGATAAACTCGATCTGACGTGAATCTTCATAGGACAACTCAGATGATGCAATTAAGTGTAAATCATAATAAGGTAGATAGTATTGTCGGTTCTAAGTAATTTTTCTCATAAATGTAATATCATAATAAATTAGTGTTAAAGAATATATATGATAAATCTAAGTTATTGATAAATAGAAACGAAAAAAAAAACAATATACATATTGTATAAGTTAGTGTAATATTCTATATCACTTGATCAATGCATAATCAATTAAACATTATAAATTAAATCAAAATATATTTTATAGTCATAAATCAAAAATCAAACTAACAAAACTTGATGTAGTTATTAATGACTAGTTAAATTTAATTTAATGTATGTTAATTTATTTATTAATATGTCTAATCTGGTTCAAGTCAACACAAATCTATATTATAATGATTCAGTTTAAAGGCTCCTTAAGGTGTCCACATAGACAGATTGTGGGTCCCACATTTTTATATTAAAATATATAGTTTTTTTAAAATGGCTACAAACAAAGAATATCAGTTTAGCCAAGTGGTCTAAGACCCCAAGTTTGGTCACCAAGGACATGGGTTCAATTCTCACTGCTCTCATGCATAAACCAATTAATGTCATCATCATAAAAATGTTTTTTAAACACACATAGTCTTGGTAAGATGGTCACAAACAATGAAATACACTTTAGCCAAGTGGTATAAGGTGTCTAATTAAGTATGCAAGATTGTGGGTTCAAACCACGCAGCTATCATGTATTTTTCATTTTTTTATTTAGGTTATTATCATACGGGCTTTTTGTTTATAAGGTTCTTATGTTTTTTTTTGGGTTTATTGTTTTAAAGATCAAAATAGTTGTATAAATCCTAAACCTTAATAAGTTCAAACCCAAAATAGTTAAAAATAAATCCAAAACGAATAATAAGACAGAAAACAAAAAAAACAAGTCTCACGTGGTTGCCTACGCGGATGGCTTAAAGAACCTTAAAACTATCCTATTATAATATAGCTCAACCCAAAAATAATAAAAAAAAATCCAAAAACAAACAGACACAAAAAAAACACAAAAAAGTGAATTCCACGCAGGTGCATACGTGGATGGCTTAATGAAGGTTGAATAATATAGGTTTGAGCTCAAAAAGTTAAATCATTGCACATATTTCCTAATATATATTTTCAAAAAATTTGTATGTGAGATAAAATAAAATAAAACAACAAAAATTAATTATTTTCGTTATTATTAAATGAATATATAATTTCTCTTACATTTTAATAACTACTATAATTTCCTTGAAAACATTCCTCACCACCGATTCCAGATTCCGGCGAATGGATTCCCACAGTTGATGACGCCGTAGATAAAAATGCCACATAATTTATGAACAAAACTCAAACTTACAAAAAACCATATATAAAAGCCTATCTAATGAAACTTAAACAACGAATATTAACTTAATTAAGGTTATTTTCAAATTGATAAATCGTTTAATACAAATATAAATACTATAAATATAGAATTATATCAAGTTTTGATCTACGATATAAAAACTATTTACAGCAAAAAAAAAAAACACACCTACTTTTACACACTAAAAACTATATTATAGCCTAACTATTCCTATAAACTTTACTTCGCATATAAATAACATTTAACACATTCCTAATATTTTTCAAAAAAAATTGTATGTGAAATAAAATAAAATAAACAACAAAATTTAAGTAAGTTATTTATTAAATGAATATGTAATTTCTCTTACATTTTAATAACTACTATAATTTCATTGAAAACATTTCTCACCACCGACTCCAGACTTCGGCGAATGAAT